ACTCTTTGTTAATACGAATGCAAAGTGCCTCGAAAAGAGGAAATCCTTAGCTGATCAAGCTTTTTTTTAGTTGTTAAAACAACAATGCATGTATGAAGTTGCTTAACTACAACTGCTCTAGTTAATGGTGGCCTTCACTATTCTTCGATAACCTCTATTGTCCGGAAAGGCGCTCTTTTGCTATTTGTAAGGTGAGATGAGCCTTAAGTCAGTGATGTACTAATGGAGACTGAATGAAAACCCGCTCGTAACTCTCCACTAGTTATTCAGACATACTACGCATGCACACATTTACGGCGTCCGTAAAATTGCTTTAACATTCGATCATCGCAAAAGTAAATGTCTCCCCTTCGCCTATAACATTCGGGTGTTCAGCTTTGTTCATGAGATAGTTTGCATGCATGACAATTCCTTACGCCACATTTCATTACAGTATACCTTCTGTGGAGGTTTAAATGCGTTTGAAACCCTCCTTTTCTTGAGGCGAACCCTGTTTGCGTAAATTGCATTTCAAAACTACAGCCTTATTGGTCTTCAGACATGAGTCATTGCCTGGTTGTGGCTACATTCGTTGAAGTGGAGCAGAACTGCGCATGTATTCAAGTCTCTTAATCAAACTATAGCACAAAGATTTAACCGAAACAAGTTATTTTTCCCAGACATTTGCATTTCCTCGCAAAATATTCAGTGTTTCTAATTGCTTTTTTTAAATGAGTTTTCTTTCTCGCCTTGGGCTCAATTTTCCACATGAAAAAAAGAAGCAACCAGAGCCTGGGGGCGTTAAGGGATAGTGCAGGGTTTTGACTAGGTGCTCTGAGGTGAGCTAAATCTTCACTTCCTTTTGCTCCTTAGGACGTCTATGCTTCCAGTTTGCAAGCATGCAATCATTCAACAGAGGATTACCAGTCTTTTGCAATAGGAAGTAATGGTTACCTATTGAGTCGTGGATCTTGAGTCAGCTGTAGTTCGTTTTCTAAAATACTGAATGCAAAGACCAAAAATGCCTTACAGTAATCTTTGACCTGGTGGCAAGGGAAGCAGTGTAATTAAATACACGTGGACGCATCTGATCAACTGTCTGGAGTGTTTAGATTGAAGGGCTTATCAAGAAGTTTCGTTTTTGTGGGCTTAATGTGGCAGAATAAGTGGACCTTTTATTACACGGCTTATTCATATGCTTTGTGTTTGTCTTAAAGAGTGGACGAGATTACCATAGATACTTTTGTCTGCCACCAAAACCTTCACAGTCCTTTTGCTTCCCTTCACGCAGCTCGCCTGTCCGACTCCGATAGACTTTCGGAAGTGGCGTTCCTGCCTCCTAAGCAACATTGGTACTTTCAGCGAACCCGTGATGAGGCGCTACGTGGAGGGTCTTTCGGAGCACCCTGGCTCAATGCGACGCAAATCTAGCCGCAAGTTCTCCGCTGCGGACGCTACTACGGCGGATATTAGCGACGTTACTTACAGTCTTGAAGCCTACTCTATGAGTACTGCGCTACGCCGACTGGAGTCTACTTTCGGATCCATAGGCTGCCTCGCCTCTAGCCTCCTTGTTGATAAGTAAGTTCCTCTTTACTACCGCAGTATTAAATGAGCATTTCATTTATCAAAGCCACATTTTCGAATACTTCGTCTATAGGTTCCCACTTCAAACCCCTTCCTCTTGTTTAAACATTTGTACGAAGTTTTACTTTGTCTATTGACCCTAGTACTTTGTCTGCTCTTGTTTCCTTAATTGTTTTATTTCTGTAATTCACTGTATTGGAGGCGTTTCATCCGACTCTCCCAACGATATTTGCTTTTATTCCTTAATTTTGTGGCCACAAACATTTGGCTCGATGTCCAAATTATGTCACGAATTCAATGTATCATTTTCCTTGCCCTATGGTAAAAAGTAGGCATTTCTTCCTTTTAATCTATTCTTTCACTTTGAACTCAAGTATTTGACAAAGGATCCGCCTTGGCTGCCGCTCTTCCTCCTTTTGCTGTGATTTTTCACTCACTAAAGTTTTTAGTCGTTAGATGGTGACACGTCATTTTTCTTGAATCTTACCATTTAGTTTATAAGTGGGCTTCTTATTTCATTACTAATCTATTCACCTGCCGCCGTCTGGCTTTTTTGCATCTGACAAAACCAATTCTACTCTACATTGTCTACTGTACATCTACTTTCCTAGGGTGTAGCTTCCGTTTTGTCAAGGCGATTAAAAGTCTAAAAATCTCATCCCTACATCTGCTTACACGGTTTGTGCTGATTCGTAAGCAGAAAGGTGCATGGACTACCCAGAGTACCAATACAGCAATGCACCGTAACGAAATGTTATGAAGTTTTGAACAGCTTTCAGCTGAAATGGCTACCAATGGGTGCTCTTAATCTATGATGCTATAAACTTTTCTATCTGTTCCACGCTCTTCATCGTTCAAAGTAGGGCTTTGGGTTGGTTCATTTATTGATGCTTTTATCTATATGCTGCTTAAAGGCCGTTCATTTTTAGCTATGAATGTTTTACTAAGTTCTATTGCGGATAGAAAATTGCCTTGTGTTCACCTATTTCATACTCGCCACTTCGATGTGAATCCCTTATTTTACTTGTTGTTAAATCACTGTCCTGACGGTCTCCTACTATTTTCAAAACACATTTATACATATTCATCATTGTACAATCAAATAGCAAGCTGCATGTGTACTTACAGTCATGAGGATTCGTTTGCTGTTTCAAACGGATGCTAAGTCGCGTGTGCATGAACTTATAAATAAATGTTGAAATTGTATGAAGGATTGGGCGTCTAAAGCTGTGTACCCATTCCTTTTCATATAGCCCAAACCGAAGCCACTACAACATTGGACGGGCGGACCATGGAATGGACTTGGATGCTGCGCACGAATTACAGGAAGAACTCTTCTTGGCAGCACCACCAAGTGCAGCTCGTCGTCTTATTCGACCCTTGGTGGAGGTGATTTCGCGCCCGCGACACAATTTCCCCGACTTGGAGTGTCTGCGCGCCTTCGTCTTTCTCGCCGTCTCTCCACTCCTTGAGACACCACGAACAGATGAGATGCTGGTGACAATTGATACAACCCTCCCTCCACCGCCTGTCACCTTCCAGAATGATGAGCCTGTCAATTGGTATCCCACTGTACTAGCCGGCTATGCGGCAGGCTTCGTTTTGGCTAGCTTTTGTCGCGCTGTTTGTCGATTGGAAGGTGTACCGTCCTCTGTTTTGGGTAAGGTGCACTTCCATTTTGACGTACACATTCCAATGGTGATTGGTTTTGCATTCGACTGAAACCAAATCACTTTCCACAAATTCGACTTCAAGGAAAATCATTTTTTTCATTCCCCTGTCTTTATTGTCTTCTCATAACATCTGAACTGCTGCTATGTCCCACACGATTGAATAGCTGACGCTCCAAGAAATTGCAATTTTCTACTCTTTGTTTGAAGATTTGAATTACCAATCATTTCATTGTAAGGCGTCGAGTTTCGCGAATTGATTGTTTACCAACGCCGTATGGTGGTGTTTATAGTGTGTCTTAGTTGTATACTATTGCAATGGTTTTCGTGAACATTCATACTCCAATTCTAGAATTTGAGTACTTGAAGATCATCCTTATTCTACTTTCTTCGTCACGTATTTTCGCATAAATATTGCGTAATGCTACTGCTATTGTTGTTACTTTGAGGTCCGAAGTCGATCTGTTTTTGGCCTTATCGCCTAGACGCTAATGCTGTATCACCTTGGCAAAAGTGCATTTGCGCGGTCTCAAATTTCCATCGCGATGCACTTTTAAAAGTCAAGGGCAGTCGTACTACTACTGCGTTATTCGACCGTAGTTTTAGCAGTTTTAACACCTACTTCAGCAAACTTTTGACGCAGTGAAGTCAAAATCCGTTCATAGCATGCACGAATATTTGCAACATTTAATTTCCAATTTTTGTTACATAGATTCTTGGTTTAAGAGTTTCCAACCGCGGTTTTTTCGTCGTTTGGTCGCCGTAAGTCGCTTACTGATGTCATGATATTTCTCCTCACTCGCACTCATCTTGTCATTTAATGATATTTGTTGCTCAGAACTTGAACAATTTTGTTGCCTACCTCTGCTCCTCGAAGCAAGACGCAGGTGAAGTCGCAGTGAGTTCGTTTACAACCTGTTGGATGCTTCTGTTACCTACTTAAATGTTTAAAGTAGACATATTTTTAAAGAACAACGAAACAACAGCCCATTGTAGAATTTTATCATTATTTTGTCGCCCTCAGCCTCAACATTGTGT